GATTACATGGAAACAATTTCGAAGTGCAAACGAAATGCAAAATAAAGCCACTTAAACGATTGCTTTTTAGCCCGGGCTGAAATTATTTGCGATTACATGGGATATTTCATCCCGGTTGACACGGCTGAAATTCAGGCCGGGTTGAAATTTTCATCCTGAGTTATGTCACCCAGGATGAGATTTTCAGCCCTGTCAACCGGGATGAAATATCCCATGTAATTCAGTGCAAATAATTTCAGCCCAGCGGAAAAAAACAATCGTTTAAATGGCTTTATTTTGCATTTCATCTTATCTTTCATACTTTATATGCAATCACAGTCTTACACAAGTCAAATAGTTGACTAATCGGCGTTTTAAATGCTCAAACAAGCAGAATATTGCCTTTCGTGATATCGTATGATTACTAAAAGGAATAAATATTGCTCTGACTAAAACTCAGCCCAGGTTCAAACTGCCCATGTAATCGTGATGCTATTTCGGGTCGGTTTAGCGGGCTGAAATTCAGCCCAGGCTGAAAACTCTCCATGTATTCGGTATAAAATATACAGAAATTATCTTGGCCATAGCACTATCTACTTAAGGAATGCTGTGACTGCTAAAACCATGTAAATTGCTAATAATAGCCATTTTTAAGGAAATTCATTTTCGGGTTTGATTCCCGATGAAAATAGCAACTATTTAATATGAGAAAATAGCGACCGGAACTTCCGGAAGGAACAAAACATTTGTTGATTTCAGTCACGCTATATGTGAAAATACCCAATATTCACGGCCTCCGTACAAACTCTAAATACAATAACCCAAACTAATTTTTTTATATCTTCTAGAACAACATTTGATTAGTTAATGGCGTACGTTTCGTGTAGAAAAGATCTGGAGCACTTAGTTAAAATGGTTTTGCCGTGGCAACGGTAGATTGTAATTTTAGCTATGTGTGAATACCATACGATTCTAAATATTCCTGATCTTATCGAAATTGGACTATTCGTGTGTTGTGTTTCACCCACTACAACTATACCAACAGAAGCAACTACAGAAAGTCCAAAACGTATGCGCAAGTTTTGTATTAGGACGTTACGCACGAGAAGCAGATTCCCTACAATTGGGTTGGCTCCCAGTAGCTGAGCGAAGACAGTTTCAAGTGCTTCTATCTGCATTTAAAGCTTTGTACTTTAATAATTGGCCTGAATATATTAAGGTAGATCAGTATGTACCAGGACGAACTCTACGATCATCATCACAAATCCAACTTGAAGTGCCAACCGAAAGTGGAACATTTCAGGACAGTGCTGCAGCTGCATTTAACTCTCTGCCAGATAGTTTGCAAAATTGCAAAGATTTCAACATTTTTAGAACAAGTGTGAAAGTCTATCTCCCAGACTTGGCCCACGAGAGGTTCGGGCCGGGGTATAAATGACTATGTTTTGTTACATCTGTTTTGTGAAATATGTACTGTGACTGTGTGAATGTACTGTATAGATTTATTAACTCTTCATAGCTACTCATTGTAAATATAGTACTTGTTAATATAGATTAATTAATTTAGTGATAGAAGAGCCAATTCAATTTGGAATCGCTAATAAATCATTATTATTATTATTATATCAGCTGTCTGGTTTTAATTAACAGTTAATATCATGATTTTATACTCAATCGAATCTCAAACATCTCTTCCATTGATTTACAAACGTACAGTTTTCATATCTTTTCAAATTCTGCATGCGTTAGTTGTTTTTGAACCTGTTTGATTCAATTGAAAATTTGCATATTTTTTAGGCCGCCGACAGTTGAATCGTTTTTCTCGGATTTCTCAGAATTTTAGCGGTTTTTGGAAAAACAAACTACATCACGTTTGTTTACTTGGTAATGCCTTCCTGCAAACCAAAAATGAGCAAAATCGAAACTTTGAGCGTGACCGGCTGATGCTCGATATTAGGTGGACCTTCGCTCTTATATCCTTAATGTTCTCTACATGCATTTGGGAAAGCCTCAGAAAAAAAACACGCATTCCAAAAGGAAATGCGGAAATATTTTGCTTGGAACCCACAACTTCTTCTTGGGACCCACAACCTTTTTCTTAGAACCCACAACTTCTTTCCCGGGCCACAATCCACAACTTTTTACCAGCGACCCACCACTTTTTACCCACGACTGTTCGCAACAACTTTTTTCTCAGGACCCAAGACTTTTTACCCACAACCCACGACTTTTTACCCACGACTTACGATTTTTTACCCACGACCCACGACTGTTAGCTAGTCCCCACATGGAATTACTAGCGATCGCAGCGTTTCACTTAATACAATTTGTAATTTTTGTACTATGATTTTTAAATAGGGTGGGATACTAGATTTTTTGGGTGGATACCACTACCAGATTTTAAGTTGCTAGTATCTTGTTATACACTATGGGAGATTCTCTCCAAAAATATTGAATTCCCCCCGGCATCAAATCTGAAAATAGCTAAATTCTGGGACGGACAATTTCCCCCCAAAATGGGGGAATGAATCTGTTGAATATCATTATTAAAACTGGTAATTGGCAACAAAAGGCATATACTTTGAGTGTAAGAAATGGGTATAATCACTTGGAATGGAGGGGATAAAAATGAAGGCATAGGAAAGGCGTCTGGGTTTGTGACTAGTATAGGAGGCGGTTCCCCGCAAATAAAAAACCCCTGAAATTTGGAGGTGCACACTCCAAGTCCCAAAACCTGAAATACCCCTGCAGGCTCTTTGTCGTCACAAAATATGACATGTGTAATATCAGATGATTTTACTCATCAAGGGTTATATATTAATTTGTTAACATAGGACTTGACTATTTACTACTTCTGAATGTAATTATGAAACGTTAAATGATTATGGAAAAACATTCATGAAAAGTTTTCTTTTTTTCTGCTGCAGGTTGTGAACATTATCAATGAGCATGCTGGTGTTTCGTATGTCTAAATTGGAAAAATGAAATCAACATGCAGGTAAATACTTAACTATTCATAGGATCCGAAAAACTCTGCCTTGTGACTTGCTGGTTGACTTTGCAAAACGTTTTAAGTAAGCAATGTCTCCTATACATGGTGTGTAAGAAAAACTGAACAGATTTGAAATTGCTCTCAATTTTGCAAAACAGCTATTAGCATCCAGTTATATATATATATATATATATATATAAAATAGTTTGTGTAGGGTTATAAAAACCAATGATAGAGTGCTCAATGGATAACCAGAGCATAATAGAAAAGACACAAAAACTTAGCAAGCTTTGTTTGGCATATTTATTACTATACAGTTTCGTACCACGTAAATAACGTGGCACTCTTCAGATAAAATAGCCTATGTTTGACCTATAGCTTCTTAACGAACTTTTTAAATATGTACAGATGGTATAAAGGACGCTTATCTAATTACAAATCAATTAACACCTCAAGTAGTGTCACGAAAAAAAAACAACTTTATAACTTGATACTAATATTTTCGTGACACTACTTGAGGTGTTAATTGATTTGTAATTAGATAAGCGTCCTTTATACCATCTGTACATATTTAAAAAGTTCGTTAAGAAGCTATAGGTCAAACATAGGCTATTTTATCTGAAGAGTGCCACGTTATTTACGTGGTACGAAACTGTATAGTAATAGATATGCCAAACAAAGCTTGCTAAGTTTTTGTGTCTTTTCTATATATATATATATATATATAAAAAAAGACAAACTTGAGTTACTTCGTTTAAAACATTTATTCACGACAAATATCGTATGGCAAACTAGGCTTGCCACACTCATCAGGTGAATGGTGATATCGCGTATTTACATGATGTTATAACCAGGGCGCTTATATACCGGGCGGGGAAACGAGAACGCACACGCCGATCGATGTGTGATGCGGAGGACTGGGAAGAATTTTGCTGAAATGAATAAATATGGCGGCTGCCAGTAGGTTGGAATCACTGTTGGAATCTAACGAATCTTCATCAAATCAGGAGTTTTTCATATTAGATGATGAAGATAAAGGCGATTTTAGCACGCTTTCTGACCCATATGGCTCTTGTGTTGATTTTTGTAGTATCTCCGCTAGTATTACATCAAAAAGTTTGGCGTCATTTTTGCAAACACTTTCCGAAGTTTACAAGCCGCCGTCAAATGAGAATTGGCTTTTAACCTTGGCTAAAGAAGCAGTATTCAATGATAGCAAATCTGTCCTTAAAGAAGAGCTTTTAAAAGACATTTTGCATTTGGTTGAAGTTTGTTTTAGTGAGGCAGGAACAGAGAAAAACTCGCAGAAATATGCAATCAAGCTGGAAAAAGCATTGCTGAAAAACGAAACTGCAGTTTTCACCATTTGGCAATAAGGCAATCATGGGAGAAATTTGTTTTCGATGATTCGAGCGACCACGATCATGAAGCTTCTGATAATTTGTTGCAGCAGGTTCTTCAGCACTTTTGGTCTTCCCACAGTGACAGCCGTATTAATACTGTTGAAGGAGGCTAAAGTGCTAAAGATCCTGCTACTTGTGATGAAAGTGACTTTGATAGCATCAGGGACCATGCTGGTTGGGTCATAAAGCGAGCTAGGGACACATTGATGAAAGGCGAGGATGAAGTACCAGCTGAGGAGAGTGAGACGGACTCTACCATTATTCAAGGCAGTAAGATTGAGGCCCTTAATTTAATTTCAAGTCTGGGGGAAGATGTCAAGCAAACTGATGGAAAGTTCAGATTTATTGTTTACAAGCATGTTGTTCCTTTTTTTCTATTCCTTCACAATCTGGTTGAAAGCCTTCATCACTCCTACTATTATGGTTGCCCAAAAAGGGAATATTTTAATTGATTGCCTTGAAAAAATATCCAAAAATAAAGTGATAAGAGAAAAGTGGAGTTGCATTGTACCAATTTCAAATACACCATCATCTGTGGTCCTGCTCCAAAGAATTGTGACTTTTTTCTGAAGTCGAAACAACAAATACTTCGGGAAAAAGGGGGGTTAAAACCAAATAAAAGCAGCATGGCAATTAGACAACAACTCAAGAAAAAAGGCAAACCTTCTAAGCAAAAGGATGGCAAAGAAATTGATGAGCTAAGGTCTGGAAATATTACATCTGATCAATTTTTGCAAAGTTTGTCTGTGTACTCTGAGTTTAAACAAGAAGAAATTTTATCACTACTCAATGGGAAAGAACTAGCCAAAATCCTCAAATCATTGGGCAAGCCATCATTCCTTGGCAAGAAAAAAAGCAAACAAATAGAAACATTAATTCATGTTATGAAAACCTGAGGTTATTCCAGTAAATGAATTTTTGAACATTTGCATCTTTTGCAAGTTTTTCTTAATCTGCCCTTGACCAAAACAAACTTCAACCAATGCCAAATACTTTTGTGAAACCTCACTTTATTGGACAGACTTGCTATTACGGTATCTTATGGTGCTTTATCAGTGCAACAAGTTAAAAGCCAGTTCTTATTTGAAAACAATCAGTAAAGAAAGCTGAGGTGTTTGCAAAAACAGTCATAGGAGATACTAGAAAAGTGAAAACAAGAGTCGAATTATTGTATGCAAGCAATGCAGCTTGTATTATTATTAGCTTTATTAACTGGTAACATTAAACAGCAGAACAGTTTATAATGCAACAAAAAGCCGGCCAAAAAATTGTATATTATTGACTAGATGTATGTGTTGTATGAAATACAGATAAGTCAAACACGTTATGGCTGACTTAACCCAACCCAATACCAGCCGATAATTTCAATAAATATAAAAGAAAACATAATCTGTAAGCGCCTCTGCCCATCAGCACTAGGGCCAGGCCCCTGGACAAAATATAGGCGAAGGCAACGGTTTATCGAAGAGTATTTGCACTAGCTGTTGTGTTATAGTTTTACTTATTTATAAGTTTTGGTTGTGCGATCTGGACACAAGCGGGAAGAAATCGGTATATATATATACTTTCTTTACGATATTGACTTGCTATTTATCGGTTATAACTTATATTAATGCATGTTTTGTATTGTATTGTATTGTATGTAGTTGACATCTTCTATCATCTATCGTTGAACATTCTATGCGTGTGCGTGTGTTCTTTGCGTGATACTTGGTAGTTGCTAGTGAACAACAACTCCCTTGATGTGCCCAGATATATGCGTCCCTATAAAAGTCGAAGTAGAACAAGGAATTGCGATAAACGAGTGGGAGTTACAGTCAACGATTTCCCTCGTAAAAACTACAACGAACCCTTTTATTCATAGAAAAACACGATCTTACTAAGATATATTACAAGAAAACATTTGGCGAAGTGTACTACCTTGACTGGGGATTCTGTAAACTTGATTCATCGCGAAATTCTATCGAAATATTGGTCCTAAAATCCTAAATACAGTTACGTGCTTGAATTTATAAAACGTTCACTGAACGTACGAACGCGCCATTTTGAATTTTCCATGTGGTCGTAATCGGAGGACTTCGGAGACCTCTCGGAACGAAATCGGAAATTTGCAAAAACCTCGAAAAATGGCGGATAAAAACGTCGAATCGGGTGGAACTTCAAGTAAAACCGAAAAAACTGATAAAACAGATAAAACGAACGCGGAAACTTTACGCTACGACGAATTAGAAACGAGTTTGATCCACATTTCGAAGAAAAGATCAGAAGATATCTTTCACAATACAACTAAAGCGTGGAGAAAGCAAATCAACCACGTTCAAGGAAAATTAGTAAATTGTACTGAAATTGCATCGTTACAAAACGACTGTTGCATTTTGGAACAATGCATGAAGGATTTAACGAAAGCTCACAAGGAATTGGAAAGTGTCATTGAGTCTCCGGTTGAGAAAATTGCTCTTTTCGGAAAATTTGAGGACATGAGCAAGGAAAACAACAAGGTTGTACAGCAAGTGTGTCAGACAATAAGGGACATGAAATTTGACGCTGAGGACAATTATTCCGTGACATCTCGAAGATCTGGTAGAAGCCACATTTCTCGTAGGTCACACCGAAGTAATCTGTCTCGATGTTCAAGGGTCAGCACTACGTCATCAAACAGACAGAGGAGGCAAGAACTGGAAGAGAATGCAGCCGTGCTCAAGGCCAAAATGCGTATTGCTCGTGAGAAGGAGAAATTCGATCAGGCAAATCGATTGGCCTTACAAGAAATTGAAGGCAAACTACAAGAGATTCAAAACGAAGAGCGGAAGGTTAAAGAGCAAATTACTCTTACTGATGAAAGATTCAAGATTAGAGAGGAACTCGCCGAAGCGGAAGCTCGAATTGACGTCTGCACACGGTTTGAGGGTGAAGAAGAATCATTCAGAACCATTGAAGAGATCCCTTGTGGTGATAATGCACACGATCGCGTTGAGCGCTTCCTCCAGTCTCAGTCGGCACCAGACGCATCACCCTTAACAGAATTGGAGCATCCTGGAAACTTCACCTCCAACCAAGAGGCAAGTCCTACAACACCTGTAGAGAATCAAGCTGTCAGTACGTTGAATCCTGACGCTCGTTACTATACGCCACCTACAGCGAATGATTCCTCACAGTACGAACAAGGACAACCGAATGTGAGAAGTACGAACGAAGATCATTCCACTTCAGACATAGAGAACCCGAACATCTTACAAACCCACCTCACTGCTCTAAACAAGTTAGTAGAAAGTCATGCCCAAAGTCGTCTCCCCCTTCCAAAACCAGAAGTCTTTAATGGTGACCCACTAAAGTTTCCAATTTGGCTTAAAGCCTTTGAAACATTAATCGAAACGCGTGCGACTAATTCCACTGAACGACTACATTTCCTCGGAAGGTACGTTGGTGGCGAAGCTAAAGATGTCATAGATGGATATATGCTGATGGACGGAGAAGACGCCTATCTGTAAGCCAAGGAAATGTTATCTAAACGTTACGGAGATCCATTCGCAGTTGCCTCGGCATTCCGCAAGAAATTGGAATCCTGGCCTCAAATCCCACCACAAGATGGTTTGGCATTGCGACGATACGCAGATTACCTGGTGCAATGCGAAAAGGCGATGGAAAGGGTCGACAGTTTGAAGGTTTTAAACGACGACCAAGAGATACATAAGATGTCTTCCAAACTACCCAAATGGGCTCTCACAAGATGGGGCAGAAAGGTTTACGCTTGGAAGAACGAGAAGAAGAGATTCCCCCCATTTTCTGAGTTTGTGAAGTATGTCGTGGTTGAAGCAGACATTACGTGCGATCCAATTAACTTGAGCCAACGGAAGATAGAGATCTATTCAAGGGGACCTCGAAGACAAAGGACTATGGAAATTTCAGAGGTACACCTCGAGAATCAAACCGCGATGAGTTTGCTAGATCATTGGCAACAAAGGTTAATGAAGAAGATGCGAGTAAGGGCAAGACCGAAGAAGTCCAATGCGCAATGTGTGGAAAGGCCCATGAATTGGAATCCTGTAAGAACTATATGGATATGGAGGTCAAAGCGAGGAAAGAGTTTGCAAAAACGAAAGGACTCTGCTTTGGATGCCTTGGAAAGGGACATTTGTCGAGGGATTGCAAGAGACGGAAAAAGTGCGACACATGCAAAAGGGCTCATCCAACATCCCTGCATGGAGACCTGAAGGGCGAATCTAAAGAGACTGAACCCTCTCGAACGGAAAACCAAACGGAACAACGGGCAGCCTGTTGTACCAAATCTGGCACTTCCAAAGAAGAATGTGATGGAATAGTGAGTTCAATGATCATTCCCGTGTGGTTGCAACATGCAAATCATCCCGAAAATGCCGTGCTCGTATAGCCCTCCTCGACGATCAGTCTGATAGCACGTTCGTCCCCGAAAGTACCCTTAGCAATCTTGGAATCGAAGGTCAACCGACACAAATTTCACTTTCCACTATGAATGTCGCAAACGAGATCATTCAAACCAGCAAAGTCAACGGCCTCGTGGTGAGCGACTTCAAGCGTAACTCTGAGATACAACTTCCGCGAGTATTCTCCTGCAAGGCTATCCCAGTAAAGAGATCGCAAATTCCACGTCCAGAGATGGCAACAAAGTGGTCCCATCTAGCAAAGATAGCAACTGAATTGTCACCCTATCATAGTGACATCGAGGTAGGATTGTTGATAGGTGCGAACTGTCCTCGTGCCATTGTACCACGAAAGGTTCTGCCCGAACGAGGTAACGAACCCTATGCTCAGCAGACAGAGTTAGGATGGGAAATAGTCGGAAACATAACCAACGACTAGCCTCCTCCGCAGGCATCTCACCCGACGAATCGGGTGGTGGGAAAAAGTTTGGTGAGATGCCTGCCATAAATCGACACAAAAATTTGCACTGCGCATACCGGCTCGCGCATGCAAATTTCGACAAACGCAAACTTAGGGGGAGTAGGAAGGGCTTACAGCAAGGAGTGGAGAAATTTTTGTTTTCAACACGATGGCTTATAAAAGGCGAATAACTATAAAGTTAACGAATAATAGTGCTCTTTAACATTGTAAATACACAGGGAACTTTGACTAAGGAGCTGAGAACGTTGGCGTGAGCCGAAGCAGCGATTTACTGGGATTGTTTAGAGACATCGACTCAACGAGTGACTTTCCAGAGCAGCGAATTCACGTTGTCGTCGATTCATGTCAAGACAGGGTGTCAATTGAACGTTTTAACGTTGATATATACAAATTTCTACTTAATATCTACTTTATATCATAATATTAAAGCTGAAATTGCAGTGATTCATTCGAAATTATATAAACACGAAATGGAACGAGCGAAAATTGTCCATATATAAAATGTAAATTCAACTGTTGACATCTGTGCCTTCGGTGTCAGTTAAATATATACCTCTTGCCTTGTTTTAATACGCTTGTATGGAAGGAAAATCATTAATAAAAGTCTTTAAAACAAAGAGGTTTTATATATTATGGAATACACTGTGCAATTTATCCCGGCTTGGACAAATTAAGACAACGTTTTCAAACTTGAGTGTCTTAGATAATAATGGCCCTGCTTTATATATGAGTGTGAGTAATACCTAGACATATATAATGGAATAGACATAAAGGAATAGAAAAGACAACTGGAATTTAATAGGAATTTAATAGTTTTGCAAGTGATGGTTTATGTGACATTCATCTTGCTTGCCAAAGTTCACATGCAAAATATTTACATGGGTAAAATCCATCAATTTTGCAAGGCAAATTTCCATCTAAGTTGTAACCGTACAAACAGTCACTGAGGAAACTTCCCAGTGATAGCTGGTGTTTTGCTATTGTTACATTACACACTACACAGCAACCACTCTGTGCCAATTCCAATTATTGAACTATATATTAAAGATGCGGTACAGTCCGATCTGCGCATGTGCACAAAGGAGCCCTCTTTATTTACAAACAGTTTATTTAGGTTTTTATTTCATTTTATGTTCTTGCAAAGCTTGATTGTTGTCTCTTAATAATTTATTATACTCTAGAATCATGATTCAAATATAAATAGTTGTTGAATAAAATTCAATATTTTGCATACAGAAATGTAAACAAAGCCTTTGTTTACATACGGACTGTACCGCATCTTTAACTGTAAGTTTACAAAAATGAATACATTTGGTAAGCTTTAGCAGGGATGGATCTGGCATGATCTGATAGGGAGGGGATGCTCTGTCAGTTGTGGTGCTGAGTTGTGTCGGTCATGTGTGCCGCCAGCCCATCAACTTGCTTCACTATGGCAAAGTCTTGCTTGACTACTGTATTTGAATTGTAATTGTTGTTCACAGTTCGCTTATCATCATGTATTACTCAAATTACTGTATCTCATTTTGTCTCTAATAATTTTTGCTTATCATGAAAAATAGCACCTCTGCACCCCCTCTGGCCAGGGCTAGGGGGCATCCCCCCCAGTAAATCCATCCCTGAGCTTTAGATTAACCCATTGTCTGGACTCTCCCATTGAAGAGTAAAATTGTCTGATGTTAGACAGAGTGAAAGCAGGTACTCCCCTGTCAGGGATGAGACAACAAGAACTTGTTGTGGGCCCCTGGCATTGTAGGCTCTTGCATGAAAAACCTAGATTTACTATATTTTAAACCAATATATGTCAAGAGCAATTTTATTTGAAAATGAACAAGGGAGATACATATAATTGGAGAATATGCAAATACATCATAAATTCTTTTATTTATCAAATCATGGATATTATGTGATGTGGCCAGTAAGTGTAACACAACTAGGCATATACTATATTAGAAAGAGGTTGTTACATGTGCCAATTGCTTTTCACGGGCGTGGTGCCACAATGCAACTTAATGGAGTTAGCATATTTACATGATATCAAGGGGGTGAGGGAGTTAAAAAAACTGCAATTCCAATTTAACTATTCAACCAAGTGAAGCCTGGTTCACATATACCTACGGTATGTTGGCAGGCTATTGTCGTTAGAAGTAATTCACAAAAGAATGTATAAACCAAATAATTCACAAAAGAATGTATGCATCAACAGCTGTAAACAATGATAGTGCAGGCATACCGCAGGCATATGTAAACCAAGCTTATAATTTATTAAGATGCCAACAAAATCTTGATGTTCGTAGTAATCAAATTTCTGTATTTGATATTTCTCTCCTCACTTATTGAAATGGTTGCTTCAACAGAAGGATCTTTTCCTTCTATATATCAATTCATTGAGTATGTTGCCAAATGCCTGATAATTTGACTAAAATTAGTGAAATAGAATCAAAATTACAACCCCTTTTAATACTGGCCTTAGACATGTCAAAATATTATTCCAGAAAACAATACAATTTAATATAATCCCTTTATTAAACAAATTATACCTTTCGTATCGTTCCATTCTTCGTTTTGTGTTCGAAGTTATGCCAGATAATTTCCTCAAATTGTAGTTCCTCGGCTGAACAATTGAGCGGAACTCTGAAGCCATACATTCAATGCATATATTTTGTAGACATAATTTGTAAACACTTGGCAGTCTTGGCTGCTTCGAGCGGAGCGATTCAAAATTTGCACGTCGTTTTTAGACCGCCAGAGACATTGCGACATATAATCCTTTCAATTGACCAACTAATTTTCGTATAGCTTGAATATTTCGACGCATTATAAAACATTTTTAAAGTTTTTAATGTTTTTTAAAATCACAAGCTTTGCTCCTCGCCGGAAGATTTCAAACTGAATATATAATAAGGGTCAAAAGCCTACTTAGGGGGTGGGGTACATTGACACGGCCACAAGGTACATTGACACGTCCATTTTGTTCGATTTATGGCAGGCTTCTCTCCCAGAAATTTTTTTTTCAAACCCATTCGCAGGCTAGAACCCATAGAGAGGCCTGCGGAGGAGGCTAACCAACGACAAGGACGATTCGGATGAAATCGAAGATGTCGTGCACAGAATCGCTACTCAATCAATCTGTGCTGCTCAAACCCACGAAAGAGCATGTACCTTTCGCGTGACGACATCGGCCAAAGAAGTTATCAATCCTCAGGAAATCAGACGCATGATGGAGTGGGATTTCTCCGAAAGAAGCGCAGACCACAACCCAATCTCCTTGGATGACATGAACTTCCTAGAACAATTAAAGATTGGAATTCACAAGACACCTAACGGCCACTATGAAATGCCACTCCCATTCCGTAACGGATCGCCAGAGCTACCAAGCAACAAACTGCTAGCATTGCGTCGGCTACAAGGGCTGAAGACACGACTGCAGAAAGATCAACGCTATCACCAACACTACAAATCCTTCATGAATGATCTACTCCAAAGAGGTTATGCCGAACCCGTTCCCGAAGTGGAATCGAACGTTGGAAGCAAAATATGGTACATTCCGCATCATGGGGTCTACCACCTCAGAAGCCCGATAAACTTCGTGTCGTGTTTGACTGTAGCGCAAGTTATCATGGCGAGTCACTTAACCAACACCTGTTACAAGGCCCCGACCAAACGAACGGTTTAATCGGTGTCCTATCAAGATTTCGACAGTACCCTATCGCGTTTTCCTGCGACGTCGAAGGCATGTTCCATCAGTTCCACGTGAGTGCGGAACATCGAAACTACTTAAGGTTCCTATGGTGGGAGAATGGAGATGTCTCTAAGGAACCAAACGAATATAGAATGACGGTCCACCTATTTGGTGCAACCTCGTCCCCAGGCTGCGCAAATTATGGGCTAAAGGCTATTGCAGAAAACAACAAGCAAGAATTCGGCGAAGACGTTGCGAACTTTGTTAAACGGGACTTCTATGTCGACGACGGGCTGAAGTCTTTAAAGTCAGTTCCTGAAGCTGTGTCGATCATCCATAAGACAAAGGATATGCTTTCTCGTGGCGGCCTTCGGTTACACAAGTTCGTGTCGAATTCAAAGAACGTCTTGTCTACCATTTCTCCCGATGATCGAGCGTCAAATGGAGCGAACCTTGGGTACACAGTGGTGCATCGAGTCCGATTCGTTTAAGCTACGAATAATCTTACATCTCAAGCCCTGTACGCGCCGCGGAATCCTGTCTACCATCAGTTCCATATACGACCCCCTTGGGTTCGCCGCTCCCTTCCTGTTAATTGGAAGACAGATTCTCCAAGACCTATGCCGAGACCAAGCAGAATGGGATGATCCGGTTCCAGAGGAAGTGCGTCAAAGATGGGAGAAGTTTAGAAGGGACTTACTTATCCTTGACAAGTTGAAAGTTCCTCGGTGTGTCGCGCCAACTGGATTCGAAGAAGTAACCTCTGTCGAATTACATCCCTTCTCGGACGCTAGTACTACCGGTTATGGACAGTGCTCCTACATCCGTCTTGTCAACTCAGAGCAAGAAGTTCATTGCGCCTTCATCATGGGAAAATCTCGAGTGGCACCGCTCAAGCACATCACGATCCCTCGCCTCGAACTATCAGCAGCCCTTGTCGCAGTTAAGGTGAGCACCATGATTAACATTGAACTTAGTTATGAGAACATTGTTAACATATTTTGGACCGACAGCGAGGTGGTGTTGGGATATATCAGCAACGATTCGAGACGGTTTCAAGTGTTTGTAGCAAACCGCGTACAACAAATACGAAACGCCACGTCACCCCAGCAGTGGAATTACGTAGAAAGCGAAGATAACCCGGCCGACGACGCTTCGAGAGGTTTGAAAGCAGAACAGCTCGTCGAAGATACACGATGGTTGAACGGCCCTGCCTTTCTTTGGAAGCCAGACCTTCAATTGGCCACCCAACAGAGATGGATGCCTGCAGATGACGACCCGGAAGTGAAGAAGGTTAAATCGCTCGCAACCGCAACGGTCGAAACCAAATGTTCGTCGATGCTTGATCGTTTGAACTATTTCTCATCCTGGTACCGAGCAAGACGTGCGATCGCGAATTGTATGAATCTCAAAAATCATTTGAAATGTCGTATCTCAAACCGCAGTTCCTCCGATAAGCAAACGAAGAGCTCACCGGTAATCAACGTAGAGGATCTTCAAAGGGCGGAGTCAGAGATAATACAAATGGTTCAAGAGAAAGAGTTTCCAGAAGAGATGAAAATACTGCGTTCACTTCAGAAGAAAGACCCTAACCGTAAAGAAACAATGAAAATTAAGGCATCACTAAAAAAAACGAGCTGTCTCTATCGACTGGAGCCATTCCTCGACCCCTGCGGTGTACTACGCGTCGGAGGACGACTAAAGAAATCAGATCTCCCTTATCACGTGAAGCATCCCGCTGTCCTCCCCAGGAAAGGACATTTAACCACCCTGATAATACGACACTACCATCAGAAGACTGCTCATCAAGGACGCGGTATGACGGTGAACGAGTTGAGATCTAACGGGTATTGGATAATCGGCGGTAGTTTGGCCGTTGGATATTACATCAGCGATTGTGTTGCTTGTCAAAAGCGCCGAGGAAACGTCCAAGAACAAAAAATGGCGGACTTACCCGAAGACAGGATGAAAACAGAAGCCCCCTTCACGTATTGTGGTGTTGATTACTTTGGTCCATGGCTCATTAAGGAAGGAAGAAAAGAGTTGAAACGCTACGGAGTACTCTTTACATGCCTGTCATCTCGTGCGATCCACATTGAAGTGGCCAAGACGTTAGAAACCAGCTCATTTATTAACGTTCTTCGATGCTTTCTGGCAAGACGAGGTCCCATCCGTCAGCTACGCTCAGACCAAGGTACGAATCTGGTAGGAGCACGGACAGAACTACGCGAGATCTTGAAGCAAATGGACCAGAACGAAGTTCAGCAGTTTTTGCTCAAACGAGAGTGCGACTGGTTCGAGTTTAAATTGAATACCCCCACTGCGAGTCATGCTGGCGGCGTGTGGGAACGGATGATTCGAACAGTACGAAGTGTGCTCGACGGACTACTCGAACAACATGGTACCCAATTAGATGAAGAATACCTACGCACGCTGCTCTGCGAAGTCGAGTGTATCGTGAACAGCCCTCCAATAGCAGGAACAAATACCCCGGAAGAAGAGCCGCTAACGCCGAACCATTTACTGACGATGAAGACGCGAGTATTAATGCCACCCCCTGGCGAATTTCAAAGGAACGACATCTACCTCGTGAAGAGGTGGCGACGGGTTCAATACCTCACGAATTGCTTCTGGGAACGATGGAGAAAGAACTACTTAATGTCGTTGCAAGAGAGACAAAAATGGAACAAGCCGCGTCGTAACATCCAAGTTGGAGATATCGTTTTGCTGAAGGACCAATCAATCGCCCGTAATCATTGGAAAACTGCGCGAGTGGAAGAAGCGGATTAAGATGAAGATGGATTGGTGCGTAAGGTGAAAGTTGTCGTTGGCTATGCACAATTAGCCAGAAACGGGAAAGGAATACGCAATCGATCTGTTCTAGAACGACCAATCCAGAAACTTGTATTGCTATTTATATAAGTCGGACAGTTGTGATGAGGATTCCCCAACGGGGAGCTTAGTGTAAATTGATTAACAATTTAGGGGAGCCATGTAAGCGCTCTCGCGAGTTTGGACACTAGAGCCCAGGCTCTTGTATACTTTGGGATTGAGATAGTGTGCGAGTAGAAACATAGATGCGTGTGTTGATCTTTGCGAACTTGCGAATAATATAATTTATAGTAAACTAAACCGTTTGATATTGAAACCGTTCTAAGTGCGATACCTGCGATTGTGGCACTATATAGAGGACAAATCGGTTAGTACATTTATACGATATTTGTCAATTTGACTTTATATTTTTGTTCTGTTTAACGCATAGTTTTAACGTAAAGTAAGAGCGTACTTATCTTTGTATTCTAGTTGACGTCAGGTCTTGGATTATTGTGATATTGCGATTAAATACAATTCATACAAGGCTTGTCAGTTTTGATTTAATACGATTTAATTCCTCGGTTGTATTCGAACTGCCACATAAAACTCGTGCGAACCGTTAAAATTCGACCGGGAGTTACAGAAACTAAGACAATTATCGGAGTAAATGCATTGTTCCAGGGTCTTCAATACTTGACTTACTTTTGTTGCCCCACAATATAATGGCACGTCGATTATATTAGGAGAAATCTGCTTGTTGTTTTTTAATTTTCGAGAAGAGTGATTGCAAACCACCCACTAGTTGACTCAGTTGGACGTGCGTGGTTGTATACATGTACAGGGCCGCCCAGAGGGGGGGCAAAGGGGGCAAATTGCCCCGGGCCCCGAGTTGCTGGGGGCCGCTGAAAATTTTTTGTAGGGCCCCAGCCTTTTTTGTGTGTTAAATAGTTCCGCGCAAAGGGCAAGATATCTGTTTTCTTGGGCTAAGTACCGAATTTTGGCATAAAAAAATGAGATAAAGTCCCTCGAAAGCATTTGCAATGTACTCGTCTGGCAAAATTTTGTACTCCGGAAAAATTTTTTTACCCCTAAAATGGTACACTGACCGAAATTTTTTTGGCGACGGGGGGGGGTGTGGGGGGGGGGAGGTTGTTATCCGGAAAAAAAATTTTCCGGGAAAATTTTTTTAGATAGGGGCCCCTAAAAAAAAATTTGCCCCGGGCCCCCGCCAACCTCTGGGCGGCCCTGTATATGTAGGCCTCTTGTACTTGTAATGTAATATGGATAAACAAGCAGTATATTTAATTAAATTACAAACTAACATGCTTTGATTTCAAATCACACACCTTCATAAGAGTCCAAAAAATCGTTTGAACCACTATGATATAAATCCCCATGACAGGCACAACTTTGAGATATTGAATAAGTGTCATCCATGAATACAGAACAGCAAAGGCTCCAGCGCCAATATGTGTTTTTGTTAATATTTTGTTCACAGGTAGTAGAAAGAGGATAACCATGATATGCATTGCCATTTCAAGATAATGCGATAGTTTGGTGAAGTATCGAAATCTTTGCATTTTAATCTGAAATAAAACACGATTTGAAAAATGAAAGATTATTCGAAAGCCGTCTGAATTTTCACTGAACAAAGATTAACTAGCTTTCAAGAAATTTTAACAGATGCATGTTGTTATGTTATCAGGTTGCACAAGCTGCTAACAACTTGCTAACAACCTACATAGCCTATTAAAATCCAGATGACAACAATTGATAGACAACTTGTAAAAGTTGTCCATCAAATTGTATGCGTCGTTAACCTTGTTGAAAATTTGCGTTGGATATTATGATGAAATTTATATATTTGTCAATTGTGACAAGTCATGTGTCATGTTTTTCCATCAATTTTCGAAACAAGTAGTGAAAATTAATTAACATGATATCAACTTGTTCGAACAACCTTGCATGTAAATGTTTGGTCTATTTAGTGTAGTAAAACTCATACCTGGAAAATATCTTTTACCATTGCCGCAAATGTTATAATCAACAAAATTATTCTTAATGCCATCGTGACAGGAGCATCTGGTGCTGTACTAACACGAATTTTACCAGCAGGATCTTGAAAATTCACAGAAAGTATAGAAATTATAACAAGATTTTGTTGCTATCTCACTATTAGTTGAAAGGTATTGTAGATGGAAATTATCAAGTGGAAATTTATCGTTTATTAGACCTAACCAGGAACAGAAGCGAAAAATGCAACTTTAGGTCCCTGACAAGAATCAAACTTGCGGCCCTGCGATTCCGGTGCAGCGCTCTAACCAACTGAGCTACAAAGGCCAGTTGTTGATCGAGCTCTAACCACAAGTTCATGCACCGGAATGCAGGGCCGCAGGTTCGATTCCTGCCAGGGACTTAAAGTTGCATTTTTCATTTTTGTTCCTGGCTAGGTCCATAGATAACTTATATACACTAGATAGTGCATCTAATTATTCTGCAATTCAAAAATTGAAGCCGTGATTGCTTAAACATTAAGTTAAACCTATATATTCCAAATACATTTTCAAACTGTTCAAATGATGAAAGTTATTGTTGTTTTTAAGCGTTTATTAGCGAGTGGGAAACTCCAACATGGCCGCCATCTATTCAAATGGGGGTATAACCACTGGAATATTCTTGGCTTCAATTTTACTTAAGAGGCTGTCTCCGTAAAAACCTCCAGGTCAATATGGGGCTCAAAAATAGATTTCTCTCATACTCTAGTATTTTGAAGATCTATCCTTGGGAACAACTAAAATCGATTTCATTTTACTCAAATTTCCTTTAAATTATTTTTGGGGGCGATTGATGTTCGATCGGCTGGTAACCAACTTGAACTCCGAATGAAGGCAAAATATCGACATATTTTCAGCGCTATTTTTTAGATCAAATTCATACCTAAATTTCAAAATTTTTGCTCAGAAATATAGACTTATCCTTCTATTTTCGTTGTTGATATGTCTTAGATAATTATTCTTTGGTATAAAGTAGAAAACAGCGCAGTTATTGACCCCCCTGAACGGATAACGGATATAGTCTCAAAATATATCAACTTTGAAAGCTTATTTCAAAATCGTGGCACTTGATTGGCACATATCTTTAACTTTTCTATAAACTACTAAATTAGTCAACACGAATCGCCAATAATATCTTTCTGCTTTACCATTTTACCGTTTACCTAACGTTGCGTGACCACAAATTGCGGCTGTAGTAGTAGTGAACACCATATGTAATCGCGAATTAGTACAGAAAATAACAATATTGTAAACACAAAAACCTCGTGCAATACTGTCTAAGACTACTATTTAATGCAATACAAAGAAAGGGAAATCACAGAGCAACGAAACATTTCATCGTCTTTGATATTAACTATATATGCTTTGATTGACATGTTTACGCTCAGCGAGTACATTTCTTTCGGCCAGGGGTTTTCCCCGAGATTAATTCGTACATTCCGTATAAAACGAAACTTTATATAACAGTTTAAGGTAAACAAACCAATGAAAATTATGTCTGTAGTATGCCTATTAACTCTGAATTTTCTAATTTCTTTGAGACATTTTATTTACAGGAAGTAAACAAAGCGAACAGAGCGAAATTCGTATGTCACAATCAGGACTCATGGCATTGAGGCGCGCAGAATTCGAACACACTGGCATTGAATGACTATCCTTGAAGCCAAACTGTACTCAAACAATTTTTTTCGAGTGCAAAACCAAAGAATAATGATGAAAGACATATATATTTACATAATCAGGCTTCATTCAGTGTAGTGTAAGGTGGTTTTATTTGTTAATATCAACAATTAGGTTTACCTATAAAGTATGCTCGATTTCGACACATTTTCAAATTTTACAAAGTTTGCGCGCTTGTCATTTTTGTCAAATGGTATTAGCAGAAAGATATTATTGGCGATTTGTGTTGACTAATGTTAGTAGTTTATTAAAAATTTAAAGTCATGTGCCAATCAAGTGCCACGATTTTGAAATAAGCTTTCAAAGTTGATATATTTTGAGACGATATCCGTTATCCGTTCAGGAGGGTCAGTAACTGCGCTGTTTTCTATTTTATACCAAAGAATAATTATCTAAGACATATCACCAACGAAAATAGAAGGATAAGTCTATATTTCTGGGGAAAAATTTTCAAATTTAGGTATGAATTGGATCTAAAAAATAGTGCTGAAAATATGTCGATATTTTGCCTTCATTCGGAGTTCAAGTTGGTTACCAGCCGATCGAACATCAATCGCCCCCAAAAATAATTTAAAGGAAATTTGAGTAAAATGAAATCGATTTTAGTTGTTCCCAAGGATAGATCTTCAAAATACTAGAGTATGAGAGAAATCTATTTTTGAGCCCCATATTGACCTGGAGGTTTTTACGGAGACAGCCTCTTAAAGAGATGCGCTATCTATAGTGTATATAAGATATCTATGGTTAGGTCTAATAAATGTATATAAATATCCATTCGATAATTTCCATCTACAATACCCTTCAACTAAAAATTATAACAACGTTAACACTTTGTTCCTACGATTTGCAGTCCTGTGTTGGGACAAAAAATGATTTTCACTATTGCTGTTTAAATTCAAACTTTTACACAGAAAGTTCGAAATACACTCAAAAGTCTAAAATACGTTCTGTAACTTGAATCGTGTCAAGTTAGTTCCTTCGAATTTACCTCCAGACAAACATTATAAGGGTGTATGAGGCCAGTGGAGTGAAGTAAAAATAAACAATTTCTACTTCTTCTGTAATCACACGCCCATACGCCCATGTTTCCGACCGCAAACATTTAAGCAGCCCATTTTTCGAAATTTGTCAGCCACTTGATGAGACGAGTGATGATTCCTCTTGGATGAAACAAGCTGTTGTAGCTTTTGTAACGTGTACAGTAAAGAGAGCTAGAGTGCTCAATACTTAAAATTCAGTAGAGCGAATTTAATTTACTGTTGTTACTTAAAATGTTTATTTGTCTCTACTCCGAGTTTCACGCATTGCTGCGATCATCAGGAGCTTTTCCCTTACAATTTCCTAACACTATCCAAAATTGCAGTTATTATAATGAAATTCGACGAGTATATTCTGGGATTTCATTTTAGGTCGAAAACTCCTCACTCCACTGCAGGCAATTAACATTTAATGGAACAAATTTCATTTCGTCATTTAATTTCTCTGACTAAACATAATGATCATTATCAATATCCCAACAATGTGAATAATGACAAAAAACATACGCGCGGTGGCGGGTATAGGCATAGTCTAATGCAAAGATGTATACATTCTCTGATTTCGAAGTACAATCTGCCCGATAAATACTGACTTGGGAGGCTGACTTCCCCCCTCAGTCCCCTTCCCTCCCCATCTCACACGCCAATGCATACATCTTTGTTTTAACATATTCCTCAGTCACTTTAACTTACCTTTAGTTTCGACTATTTCGCCAATAACTAGTATTGCATATGCCATCAGGCAAATATGAAAAATCAGACTCAGAATTATTGCAATTAAACTGTATTTGAATCCTCTTTTCTGCCATTTTAAGTTTACATACTTGACAGACACTGGATGTCCTAAACATATTTCGCTTTCATTTTCCACCATAGCTTTGAGAGCCTCAAACTGTGGATATGGGCAGCCGTTTTTACCTATAAGAAATAGAATTATAGCTGATGCCATTTAAACGATTACTTCTTTTTCAAACGGTTGCATGGCAAAATGGTAAGATAAAGGTAAAATGTCCCTTGCCCCGGAGCTGCTCTTCCGATTCAATGTGAAAGGCGAAATGGCCGTGCAGAATGAAATGTGGAATATAACTGCAGAATGGCATGCGAACATAAATTTCTTTCGAGACATTTTTAGGCTATGACAATTTTACTTTACTCTTTAAGTTCGAGACATTTCTCTGAAATTTTTGTGGCCACGCATGTTTCAAATGCTAAAAATGCCTTTGAATCGCCGATAATATCCTGAGAGAATGCATTCCTCTTGCAGTCAAATTGGTTGTTTCTTTCCCGTGATAGGACGAAAACGCGAAAGTTGCAACAGTAATTTTCTTAATTAAGTTCCCACGCGTCCATGTTGAATCTTGACAACAACAAATCAGAAACAAAGTTACAAGGACTACCGTTTGGCCCATCTTTTGACAAATTAAAGTAAATTGTTTTAATATATATTTTTGCACGCATTGTTTTTCAATCTGTATTATTGTATGTGGTAAATTGCAGCTATACAGGGTGTATAAAAAAAAACTGAACAGATTTGAAATTGGTCTCAATTTCGTAAAACACCTATTTGTATCCGGTTTTTTATATATATAGCTTCTTTGGGTACTTATAATGTAGAATAATGAAAAAAATTTCTTGAACTCAAATTTTGTGAACCAGGAGGGTGTGTCTTTTCCAACAAACTAAAAGTGGCTCGCGCACAAAATTTAAAAGATGTAATCATATTTTGAATTAATAGATGGAAAATTTGTCGGGTTTTTAATTACTGTACAAAATTTCAGGCAATTTGGTTTAGTTTAAGCCCTTTAACTATTCACGCAAAGTTACATTTTTCCTAAAAATCAGCTATTTGCATGCTTAATTAATGCAAAGGCTAGCCTACGGTGTAGACCCCAGCAGAAACACGTTTCGTTTCCTCACGAAACGTGTTTCTGCTGGGGTCTACACCGTAGGCTATGCAAAGGCCTAATTTGCATATGTTAGCAATATGCAAATTAGGTAAACGCATTAATTAAGCATGCGAAAGGCTGATTTTTTAAAATAAAATGAATAGTTAAAGGCTTAAACTCAACCAAATTGTCTGAAATTTTGTACAGTAATTAAAAACCCGACAAAGTTTCCATCTATTAACTCAAAATATGATTACAACTTTTAAATTTTGTGCGCGTGCCATTTTTAGTTTGTTGGAAAAGACACACCCCCCTGGTTCACAGAATTTGAGTTTGAGAAATTTTTTCATTATTCTACATTATAAGTACCCAAAGAAGCTATATATATAAAAAACCGGATGCAAATAGGTGTTTTGCGAATTTGAGAGCAATTTCAAATCTGTTCAGTTTTTTTTTATACACCCTGTA